CACCCACGCCCACAGCCGCCCTCCCTCTCCGCTCATGACTCACGTGGGGAGAGCAGCAGCGAGAGGAGATTTTTTTGAAGCTGCGGCGATGGGCAGAAGGAGAAGTCGCTGCCTACACCCGTTCTGCTCGTGCGAAAACACGCGTGCGCCCCGCACGGCCGCAGCCCTGGGGATGGATCCGGGCTCATTGCCGTGGGTGGGAGAGATGCCTCCCCCACCTTGCTGCCCTCATGCACTCCCCGAAGCCCCTCTGTGCTGCTCCCCCAGGGACAAACTCACCCTGGGGACATTTGTCCGGCTTTCCTGGGAGGACAAAGGTGACGTTGGGGCAGCTCAGCCCGAATTCAGACGCCCTGTCCCGACACACGGTGCGTGCAGCCATCGGCTTCTCCCAGCCCGCCTGAAGGGACGATAACACCCACCAGCTGCGGCCACGGTCCTGGGAGCTGCAGCCCAGGTGAGGCTCTCTTAATTAGCAGAGGTGCTCGTTAAGACAGGCACATGCTCCATAAGCCTGCACACCACCGCTCTGCAGGCGTGCCTGCTGCTTTGACGCTGGCCCTGCTGGTGAGTCCAACCCAGCATGGATTCAAGAGCGGGCACATCACCAACAACCCCCAAGCCCACCAGCCTCCCGCTGTGGGGACCCCCAGGCTCTCCCCAGCTCCCACTGTTGGGAAACCCAGCAGAAGAAATCTGGTCCTGAAGGAAGCGGCGGCAGCTCCCGCACAACAAGGAAGATGAAGATGGAGATCAGAGAGGCAGGTCCAACCACGGTTCTAGGTCCCTTGTGAATCATTTTATTTTCACTGCTGCAGAGAGTAGGAGTGAAAATACCATTAAGTTGAAATCAGTCGAGAACTACATATGTCTCTAGATATATCTGTACAGTCTACCAGTATATATACACATTATATATAAATATATACATAGGGTCTCCGGGTTTAAGGTTGAAACCTGCCAAACCCAATAAAGCCCACTGGAGAAAGATGTGGAGAAGAGACTTTCATCATGAAAAAATGAATCTGAACTAGCATGGGGGTTGAACGATCCTTCCAGCGCTGGGAAAGGGGGAGCACCCAGCTCGCAGGGTCACTGGTGTGTCCCCAGGCTGGGGGAACATCTCTGTCCCATTCCCACGGAGCGGGACACGGTGCCCGTCCGCACCCGTCTTGGAGAAGGGTCAGTTTTGGTGGCTGAAGGCAAAGGAGGTAATTGCTGGTTTCTTTGGTTTATTGCTGTAATGCTTATTTCGATGGGCATTTTTTTCCCCTCTAATGCTCGGCCTTAAGTCTAAATCCTGAGAATCAGGAAGAAGAAAAGAGAATAACCCCTCCTAAACCCGGACACCCTATATATGCAGGCACAGCTATCAAAGAGGGAAGCGATACACGTGAACGCAGGGAGAACGGGGAATAAGAAATAGCTGTTCCAAAAGAGTAATTCTTCCCTTTTCTTTTTCTTTCATTTTTTTCTAAAAAAAGACAAAGGCAAAACCAGTCATGTGTGTTTGGTTCAAGAAAGCAACAGCAAGTAAAATCCTCCAGGAGGTGGGGGTCAAGGCAGGAGGGCAGAGGGACGGCGAGAGCAGAGCGGAGATCCTGGGGGTCAACCCAGCCCCGGCAGAGCCCGGGTTTGCACCCCGGTCACCATCCAGCCCCAGGTACCTAAACACAAGCGCAAGTGTCCCGCTGGCATCGCTGCTGAGCGGCTGGCTCTGCTCTCCCCCCGGGGGGGTGGTCCCAGCCCCAGGGCAGCTCAGGCAGGAGGGCAGAGGGACGGCGAGAGCAGAGCGGAGATCCTGGGGGTCAACCCAGCCCCGGCAGAGCCCGGGTTTGCACCCCGGTCACCATCCAGCCCCAGGTACCTAAACACAAGCGCAAGTGTCCCGCTGGCATCGCTGCTGAGCGGCTGGCTCTGCTCTCCCCCCGGGGGGGTGGTCCCAGCCCCAGGGCAGCTCGCTGGCATCGGGGTCCCGTGGGCTTCGGGCCAGGGTTTGGCTGGGAGCAGCAGAATGGGGCCGACGGGCTGAGCCCCGCATCCCCGCAGCGCCGGGGCTGGGAGGGGGTGGGATGGGGGCTGCAGCAACGCGGGCTG